CCCGCCTCGGCCTCCCAAGAGCTAGGATTACAGGCGTGAGCCACAGCGCCCGGCCTTGTGCATACTTTTAAACATAGTTATATTCATCATTGTTTAGTTCTAAGTATTTCCTAATTCCTTTTTGGATTTCTTCTTTAGATTTTAGAATATTTATATTTGTTAGTTTAATCATGAAGATTTTTCATTTTGCAATGCAAAACAATTTTTTAAAGTTTGATATATAATATTTTTTACATTATGGTGGAATCTCTCTCTCTCTCTATTTGTAGAGATGAGATCTCAGCTTCTCTTTTGTTGCCCAGGCTGGAGTGCAGTGTTATTCATAGGTATAATTGTAGTGGACTGCAGCCTAGAACACCTAGCCTTAAGTTATCCTCCTGGCTCGGCCTCCTGAGCAGTTTGGACTACAGGTGTGCACCATTGCACCCAGATTTAGAGTATCTTTTTAGCTTGAGCCTTCATGTACCCTTTTTCCTCTTAATTTATATTTATTTTTTCAGTTTTTAATTGATACATAGTAATTGTACATATTTGTGGGGTACATGCTGTATCTTAATACGTGTTTACAATGTGCAGTGATCAAATTAGGGTAACTGGCATGTCTATCACCTTAAACATTTACCATTTCTTTGTGTTGTGAACATTCAAAATTCTTTCTTCTAGTTATTTTGAAATAAACAATAAATTATTGTTAATTATAGTCATTTTATTGTGCCAAAGAACACTAAAATTCATTCCTCTTATCTAACTGTAATTTTGTATCCATTAACCAACCTCTCCCTATTCTCCCTCTACCCCACTAGCCTTCCCAGCCTCTGGTAACCACTATTCTACTGTATACTTCTATGTGATTAATTTTTTTTTTTTTTAGCTCTCACGTATGAGTAAGAACACGTGGTATTTATTTTTGTGTGCTTGACCTATTTCACTTAACATAATGTCCTCCAGGTTCATCCATGTGCTGCAAATGACATGATTTCATTCTTTTTATGGCTCCATAATATCTTGACTATTGTGAATTGTGCTGTAATAAACATGAGAGTAGAGATATCTCTTTGACATACTGATGTCCTTTCCTTTGGATGTATACCCAATAGTGGGATTGCGGGATATGATGGTTTTATTTTTAGTTTTTTGAGGAACCATCATACTGTTTTCCATAATGGCTATACTAATTTACATTCTCACCCATGGTGTATAAGAGTTCCCTTTTCTCTGCATGCTTTTCAGCATTTGTTATTTTTTATCTTTTTGATAATAGCCATTTTAACTGGGGTGAGATGATATCTCATAAATGTTTTGATTTGCATTTTCCTGATGATTATTGATGTTGAGCATGTTTTCATATGCCTGTTGGTCATTTATATATTTTTTTCTAAGAAATATTTATTCAGATCATTTGCCCATTTTTAAATTGGCTTATTTATTTTATTTTATTTTATTTTGCTGTTGAGTTGTTTGAGTTCCTTATATATTCTGGATATTAGTCCTTTGTCAGATGAATAGTTTGCAAATATTTTGTCCCATTCTGTGGGTTGTCTCTTTATTCTGTTGATTGTTCCCTTTGCTCTGCAGAAGCAGAAGCTTTTTAGTTTGATATAATCCCATTTTTTCTTTTTTGCTTTTGTTGCTTGTGCTTTTGAGGTCTTATCTAAAAGATCTTTGCGGCCGGGTGTGGTGGCTCACGCCTGTAATACTGACACTCTGGGAGGCCGAGGCGGGTGGATCGCTCAAGGTCAGGAGTTCAAAACCAGCCTGAACAAGAGCGAGATCCCAGCTCTACTAAAAATAAAAAGAAATTAATTGGCAAACTAAAAATGTATATAGAAAAAAAATTAGCCAGGCATGGTGGCACATGCCTGTAGTTCCAGCCACTCAGGAGGCTGAGGCAGAAGGATTGCTTGAGCCCAGGAGTTTGAGGCTTCTGTGAACTAGGCTGATGCCACAGCACTCTAGCCCAGACAGTAGAGTAAGACTCTGTCTCAATAAATAAATAAATAAATAAATAGTCTTTGTACAGACCAATATCCTGAAGCATTTCCCATATGTTTTCTTCCAGCAGTTTCATAGTATTGAGTCTTACATTTAAGTCATTAATCCATTTTGAGTTGATTTTTGTATACAATGAAAGGGGAGACCTAGTTTCATTATTTTATATAATGTATATCTAGCTTCCCCAGCACTATTTATTTATTTTCAAATTTTTCTTATAATTTTTATTTCAAAATATTAGGGGGTACAAGTGTTCTTGTTACATGGATGAATTGTATAATACTGAAGTCAGGGCTTTTAGGGTGTCCATCACCAGAAAAGTATGCATTGTACCCAATAGGTAAGTTTTTATGCCTCATCCTCTTCCCACCTTCCCCCCCCCCCGTTCTTAGTTTCCAATGTCCTTTACACCACTTTATGACCATGTGCCAGCGCCATTTATTGAAGAGACTTCTTCAATGTATATTTGGTGCCTTCGTCAAAAATCAATTGGCTTTGTTAAATGTGTAAATTTATTTCTCAGTTCTCTATTCTGTTATATTGGTCTATGTGTCTGTTTCTATGCCAGTACCATAAGGCAGTTAGAGTTACTATAGATTCGCCATATATTTTGAAGTCAGGTAGTGTAATGCCTCCAGCTTTTTTCTTTCTGTTCAGGATTGCTTGGCTATTTGGGGTCTTTTGTGGTTCCATATGAATTTTAGAATTTTTTTTTTATATTTCTGTGAAGAATGTCATTGATATTTTGATAGGGCTTGCATTGAATCTGTAGATCACTTTGGGTAATATCATGTGACTTTTTAACGTAATTTTCTTTCTTACAAATGTGTTTATATATTTCTTTTGAATAAAAGTGTATAAATATATGTGTGTATACATATGTATATTTATATTATTTTAGAGCTCTTATATGGCCACTTATCACAGAAAGTCTCAAAGCTTTCTTTATCATAAATATGTGGTAAAAAACTAGTATGTTTCACTCTTTAAATTACTACTAAATTAAATTTCCCAGCTCAGTGGTTCTCAAATTTGGGTTGTAGAGTCCCTGGAGCTCATAATGCTTTTTGATGATCCTTATAAATGTTGCTATCCTTGGTTTAATTTATGTAATTTTGTGCTCAGATACTGTGTTACACAAAATTCTAATTTAGAAAAAATCATTGCACGAGCCAACTATTTTAAAAAAATTGAGAGGAAAGTTTATAACACAGACAATTTTAATAATTCATTTTTCTGCAAATTGAAAAATTCACTCATCATTTTACTTTGAATTCAAAACTCTTCAGTGGTTTATCTGTAAGATGAAATGCAAAATCCTTGGCCTGGAATTCAAGGCCTACATATCTTTTTATCTTTCTTTTTCTACTAATTCCCTCCATGATGTCTCAGTATCAGAAGAACAATAAGTTATACTGGTCTTAAACCTGTTCTACTTACTCTGGTGTTCTACTTGTTAAAAGGCAATTTTCAAAAATGGGTAAAATTATGATTCTCATACAGATATAAAAAATGAACATGTGTTAAAGAGTGTAATCTATTCATTAATCAGTGAGGGAACCAGGTAGATGTTATAACCAATTCAACAGAGACTCCTAAAAACAGACACATTTATTCCTAGATCAGGAATATCCAAATGAATATGCAAATTGAGGCAACACTGATTTTTCCACACGTGGAAAAGGAAGTCAGTTGAACCTCCGCAGAAAGGATAGACTGTGCATGTGTATAGACAAAAGTTATTTGGCTTTCCTATCACTTATTTACAACTTATGGAGTTGTAAGATAGCCCAAAGAGAACGAAAGGCTAGAATCATATAACTGGAAAGATGTGTTGTATATAGAAAATGCATAGTTTTCTACTAGAGCACAGTTTTTCCCTACACCCCTTCTTGTTTTTCCCTTTCTTTTGGCCGATTTAATCCCCACCTGTTCTTCAGTGAGCTTCAATACCTATGGAAATGAGTTTCTCCCTCTATGTTCTATATAGTCTTTATTGTCTTATTATTTACTTGCCGTTTACTTGTACAGTACTGTTAATTGTCTTTTCGCATGTTTTTATCTACTTAACTATGTCATAATTTTAAAGAGAGAAATTATGTATCAAATGGTAGGCACTCAGTGATTATCTGTTACTTGATTTGGGGAAGGAAGTTAATATCTTCTCCCTTCTCTCTACTATGACCCCAGTTCCTTAAACCTTTATCACTCACTCCAACAACTGCATATCCAGCACAGTTATATCTTGTTTAGCTTGGAATTACTGAATATTTAATGACGGGTTCCCCAGCAGAAAATCAACATATTCAACTAAAACCAAACCAAAACAAAAACTTTGGATAATAACCTGCTATGTATGCACACTTTGAGTTCAAGATAAGTCCTAAAGAGGTGTTGATGGTTTAAAAAGATATGATTTACCTAATATTTAATTTCTATCCATTTCCAGCAAGGTAGTCATTTATGGTACCAATTGTGTAAAGTGGGGAGAAGTGTTTGAATTGGGAATGAGGGATGTTTTTCCCCTTCCAAAATACACCTGCTACATTAAGTTAACAAAATCAAACACAAAGTCATAATGCATGGAAAAGTAATTATGTTTAGCTCACTAATTATGAACATATTTTGTCTGTTGGTATTTACAAGTATATTCCATATCCAAAGATTCTTATTTTCCTAATCTTTTCTCAGTTGTAGCTAAATATTTTAATTACATGTAAAAAATGTTTATTTTTTACAAACTCTAATTATAAAACTCCATTTCTTTAGATGAGCGAAGTTGACAAACATTATATAAAACCAATTACAAAGTGTGAAAGAGGCTCACAGACTGATACACACATATTGCCACCAACAATTGTGAGATCGTATGAATGGAATGAATGGGAATTAAGAAGAAAAGCTATACAATTGGTTTGTAACAATATTTTAAAAATTTATTTATAGGTTGGAGAATTTTAATATGTTGTCACTCATAGAGTTGGTAGGTTAAATTATTTATATAAAATAATGATTTCTATACAGATTTCTTTGCTAACATAAAGATAATTTGCATAATTCACATATGTATTAAGGTTTTGTCTTCTATTTTAGGCATTATGATGATTATCGAAACAGTAAATCTACTCTCAAGTGTTTATTATATTCTTACTACCAGTAACCAGAACAATGATAGCTGCTATTTATCTAGCTAATAATTTTAAAACTTGGTTGTAGTGTTTAAAGCACTCTGAACTTCCTCTAATCATTTAAAGTATGCCATTCTTTTTTCTTTTCTTTTTCTTTTTCTTTTTTTTTGGACCTTTTTCTGTTAAATCACAGATATTGTCCCCTCTTGTTGTCAACATATTCCCTCCAGACTCTGGGTACTCCCACGTTTCTGATTCTCAGGCACCTTAATCACAATAGATGCCTACTCTGAAAGGGTGTCTTTGAAATTCTCATCTCTATCTAACTTAGTGGAATCCCCCCCTACTTATTTCCTTTATATAGTATCTTGTCATTTTAAATGACAAATATTTATAGTGTGAAAGAAATAAAAATCTTTTATGTCTGTAGCCTCTCTTTATTATAATATATCCATCTCTTTAACTGAAAACAGTTGTGGAAATAAACAAAGACCACCCAGATGAGAACAAACAGAGGCTATTTATTCAGAGCTTGTTATTGTAAAGGAGTCAGCCACTGTTACTTGTGTTTGACAGACTCAAAGCAGGCAGGAAAGTGAAAACCTTTATAGTGATAAAATGGGGAAGACTTCAAGTGTTCTCTGATTGGAAGTTGTTGACATGAGAAAACTGGAGAATAGCTAACTAGAAGCTGGACATCTTATGTGATTGGTTTGGTGAGCATATTTGGTTTTCTCTGATTGGTCCTAAGATAGGTGAGGAGGGGCAAAAAAATAGAGAAGCTGGCCAAGTCCTGAACATTCTGGGCCACTTGCTACAGCTACAAAGGTTGAGTTTGGCTTCCCAGACTGGTTGATGGAGAGGTTGTGAGTCAGTTGTATTGTTATATATGCCCTAGCCTTTAGCCTTTGTCCATTTGTATATTCAGTCTCTACAGGCTTCCCACTGACCACATCATTTCCTTTGCCACTCACTCTGGTGGCAGCTTTTCAGTCCCCTGACTTCCTGGGATAAGGAAAAATCAGCTTCCCTATATATCTTTCAGATCATTGTTCCATTAGCATTCCTATCAGTTACTCTTCTGTAGTTCATGAAATGCTCATCCCCTATATTCTTTTCTATTATCTACTAAATTCAAATGAGCTCATCAGACATTACTGGATAACATACATATCCCACTACCTGTTCTTCAGGAGATAATAGTCTAGCAAGAGAATTGACACACTAACAATATTTTAGTACCTCTTGGTAAGTGTATAACATAAGTAAAATTAAAATTCCACTAAATTAACTTAGGCAATATTTTAAGTTGGTGTTGAGACACAAATAGGCACAGAAGAAGAGGGAAGCAATGGCTGGACAGTATATACAAGAGATAGAGGTGATAACAAGGTATGTATGGGAAATGTTAAGAGAGTCAGTTCTTCAGAGGGCCTGAACTTCATACTGACTGAACCCTCTCTTCCTATTCCTTATTCTCCACTTAATTCTGATTCCCACCTTAGATCTAATTATCCCCTATAATTGCATTATGTTGAATGCCTGCTCCCCAATGATTATCAACCCAACTTGCGGATAAAACAAAGCTAAGTTTACTGCTTTCTAGTCATAAGGGAAAACACCACCGCAACAGAGTTTTGGCAGTGTCTCAGAGGAATAACAGCAAAGTCAGAATTTATTGAAAATTTAAGGTTTATTGAGGCAGGTCTTTCAATGCCTGAGGTGGGTTGGGAGGCAGGATGAGGGTTTGAATAGGACTGGGTAAAGATTGTGAAAAAGCAGTCCAGCATTGGTAGGAATAGCAAAGAGAAGATTTTTGAGGCGAGGGATAAAAAAACCTTAGGGCTTAAACTGCATATTGATGCTTACTACTGAAGAGCTGATATATCTTTCAGAAAGTTCTGTATTGAACAGTCAAGTTATTTGCTTGGGGAAGAATCTCTTGGAATTGTAAAATTATGCTAATGAAGACAGTAGAATAGTACAGACAATAAGTTGAATTTGGGGAGTAGTTTGGGTTCTTAATCACCTGCAGTATCATCTCAGACTCTGAAATGTTTTGTCTAATTCCAGGTCTTTCCTTCACTCACATGCTCTAATGCCTTCTGAGTTTTTTCTTGGCCTTTACCATAACCTCAGCAACTGTTATTCTCCTTTTTGTAAGCTCCTCCTTGCTTCCCAGCTGAGTAATCTGTTTAACTTCATGTTTGTTAATAATCCATAAAGAGAGTAAGCAAAATGTAGAATAATGTACACTATAAATAGATAACATCAGAGCTTTTTATATTAAAAATCTAGGGTGATGCTCATTTTTAAAAGATAATACTATATAAATCCTAAATTTTTATCTTTAAAAAAAAGTATGGTGGAAAAATCCAAGTTATATGAATCTCAAAGTATAATAATGAAAGAGTTAGAAGATTATATTAACAAATAATTGACTGAGCTAATGTATTAATAACTTTGAATCTGTTCTTTCTTTGGGTCTATTTTTAACATTTTATATATTTTTCTACTTCTTGGTAAAGGATATTTGATTTTCTATTATGTTCTAGATTTTCTAATGTTCTAATGTTTTATAGAAAAATGCTATGTTATAAAATTAATTTCTTTGGGGAGTGACAAAAAAAATAGGCAGATATTAACCAGTACCTGATAATATTTTACAGTATCTGTTCTTCAGAGAAAAGTTAATTCCTGTATTCTCTTTCTGTTTAGGCCAATTTGCGTCACAAAGTTACTCACTCAGCACAAACTGATCTTAGTCACATGAGAAGAGACAATTATTCTCAGGTGTACCTTTTAAAGGACTCTGGCACCCAGTCCCTGAGGGAAGGCAGCACCGGAGTGCCCAGGCCCCAGATTTACTTAGCTGGTCTTCGAGGGAAAAAGAGCAGAATCACTCATGAGGTCAAGGTGAACTTAACTAGGGCTGTTGATGAAACCTAGTTAGAGATCACATTTCTAAAGTAGATGTTCCCCAATTATGAACAATGGCAATTACTTAAAAATATTTACATCCATGAAAATTAACTTTGTGGGGTGGCACATTTATTGGTTGGGTGACTATTTGTTTATTGGATTCCCATATGCTATCGAACTGCTACAAAAAGCTAAAAGTTGTTTTCTATAACATATTTTCATTCTATTAAAATAGAAAAGTAAAACTGTCCATTTGTCATTTATTTGTTAAAAGTTTGGCAGCATTAAGATTGAAATCATGTCACTTAGATAATAATATAAGATTATTATGATTGGTGTAGAAGATTATTTCTAAAATCATTTTCAATGTCAAACATTACAATTTTAAAACCTAATTAATATTTTCAGCTTTATTAGCTATTAAATGTTAACATAGATTAAACTGACATATAATAAAACCTTACTAGTTTAGAACAAATTCGAGCAAAGGTCCACATGTTGTTTTTCAAAATCTGGAAATTTTACATAAAATCTATATTTCTGGCCCTTTGGAAAAAATTAGAGTATCTGATAACAGTTGGCTAGACTTTCTGCAAGTAGTTTTGCCCTTTCACAGGGCAGGTATTTCCAGTCCTCCATCGTCTAATCCAGATCTCTGCCTTACGGGCCTCCCCTTTTACTCCTTTGCCTTATTTGCCTGACCCTGTAGGCAGTTGTGTTTAGGACCCCCATGAATTGCTGATAGCTAAATTTTAGAGCTATGGTTTTATAACTGTCTTACATACTTCTAATACCAACTCACGGATAAGAAAGGCTCCATATGGAGGGCTTGTTAAACTTGCCTTAATACCTTGCAGCTCATTTGTATTTAGCACATTTTTTTCTGCACAGGTGACTTTTACTAAGGTGTTTGTATAATTGATATAAATATATAATTTAAATGATGTTTATAATATGAATGTGCTTTGAAATCCATTTTCCATCGGTAAACTTCAAATATGCCTACTTCTAAGTTTTCATGATTTTCATTCCTGTAGTTTAAAAATGATGTTAAAGATAGGCTAGCTGGCTATTAAGGCAGGGCCTGGGGGAGTAGGGTGACACTAAAATTTACAAATTCGGGAATGTGATTTTATCTATTCAGTTAACCCTCATCTGAGCCTGCAGGATTGCTAAACACAGAAAATGGCTGTAAGCCAGAGTCTGGGGTTATCAAAGTTATGGCTAGAAGCAGAATGGCCAAGTGAATAAAAATACCAAATTCAATTTGAGTAGCCAAACTTAATATCAGAAAGTCACCTGGGAAGTACAACAGAATCAGAGTAAAGGGAGCTAGATCTGATGGTAAACTTACTCTCTCCCAGGATCGCCACCATTTAATCAAGCCCCATCCTAAAGATTTCCAACATATGCTGGACCCAGTGTCAAATCGTCAGTCCCATTTCAGCACAGACCAAAATAATTTTTTCTGCCAAACTTGTTTCCCCTTCTTTATTTTCTTCTGTGGTCAAAGGCATCACCACCTTACTCAGTAACATAAATTAAAAATTTCTTGGCCAGGTGCGGCGGCTCACAACTGTAACCCTAGCACTCTGGGAGGCCGAGGTGGGCAGATTGCTTAAGGTCAGGAGTTCGAAACCAACTTGAGCAAGAGCGAGACCTTGTCTCTACTAAAAATACAAAGAAATTAATTGGTCAACTAAAAATACATAGAAAAAATTAGCCTGGCAGGGTGGCACATGGCTGTAGTCGCAGCTACTCGGGAGGCTGAGGTAGAAGGATTGCTTGAGTCCAGGAGTTTGAGGTTGCTGTGAGCTAGGCTAATGCCATGGCACTTTAGCCTGGGCAACAGAGTGAGACTCTGTCTCAAAAAAAATATTCTTGATTATCTTTCTCCCACAGCCCCTACATTTAACTAGTCATCAAGCCCTGTTTATTTGGCTTGAACTGTGTTTGAGATTCATTTCTTCCTATTCTCACCTCTACTGCTGCCTGGGCCACTGCTGCCTCCATTTTTTAAAATGATTCATGAGGATAATTTTTCTTATGCACCTGGCTTCCTGCTCCCCCCACAATCTCTACCTCCCTTGCTTAAAAACCTACAGTACTCCTCTCAAATAAAAACTACTCTACACATTATGTAAAACTTTTCAAAATATGATCTCCATTTATAATCATTTCATCTTTTGTTCTCTTATATTCTCTCCACACATCAACCAAATTGAACAAAAACTCTTTAAATAGGCATGGTCTTTAATCCCATCACTCTTACTCTTGCTTTTCACTCTGTCCCCAGGAATGTGCTCCATAGGAACCCCCATGAAATTCTACTTGTGCTCAGTCTGATCACATTTTTCCTTTTTTGTGAAGGTTTTTCCCATCACTTTGAAAGAATTAGTTGCTTCTTCCTTTGAGGTTTCATTAGATTTTATTCTTACTCTCATTGTAGTACTTAAACTGGTATATAGAGAGGTGTGCATCTATATTCACCCTGTTAGACTGTAAATTTCTTGAGATTTGAACTATGTGTTATCTTTATATTCCTTATATTTGTATAGTATCTTGTTGGATAAATGAGTAGAAAAAAGGACTAAATGAAGGGACAAACTGGAAAGAGGGTATTTGTTGAGTGATTATTTTAATAGTCAAGGTGGGAGTTGATAAGGTCAGCAGTAAAATAGTTACTGCAAAAGAAGAGGGAGAAAAAGGGAGAGAGGAAGAGGGAGACTATTTTGGGGGAAGTGCTAGCAATAAAGTTGAGTAAGCAGAGTTAGTAAACTTTTTGGAGGACTTTGAAGGCCAAGCAGAGGAATATTTTGCCTACTTGTAGTAGGACATTACAAAACCATGGCAGAATCTTGAATAGAAGACTCATTGTGGGAGAGGGATACTGGAGTTAGGGAGATGGCTAGGAAGCTGTTCCAAGAATTGGGGCATGTGGTAATGGAGGACATAAAGGGGCAAATGCTAGGTTTAATTAAGGGAAGGAAAATTCAAAGTATGACCTTAAGGTTTCTGCTTAAGGAGATCAAGGATAATTGGGAAGAGGAGCTGGTTAGTAAGAAAAGATAACATGTTCAGCACTAGAAAATGTGAGTTTAAGGGATGATCAGGATAGTAAAGCAGGGTTGATAGGAATTTGGGTTGGACAAAGATAACTTGGGAGGGTCATCCCTATGGGAATAGGGGTAGAATGAGGGGGAAGAGTAGACAAAATAAGATAGGTTAGCAGTCAGAAGAGTAGAAAAAGATGTAATTTCTATAGTCATGGAAGAAAAGTCTAGCTCTACTGCTTACTAGTTGTGTTCCTTAATATCTCTCTGCTGCAATTTCTTTATCATAAAAATGAGAAAAATAATAACAACAGTTCCCTACTTATTGGATTGTCATGGGATTAAAAGAGTTAACACATGAAAGCACTTGTATAGTAAGTGCTTTGTCAGCTTTAGCCAATGGAGGAGAGACTCCATATTGTCTCATTTCTACTGCACCTCCAATCCTCCTTTTCTCCACTTTTGTTTTCTAGCTCTCAGTGCCTAGAATAATGGTTGACACATTATGATTTTCAATAAATGATTACTAAAGAAACAAAAGAGGATGACTAATTAGAAAAGGTCAATGGAATAGGCAACTATCAATGTCTGCTTGACAGGAAGAGGAAAGTAAGATTATGGTTAACTAAAAAAGGAAGCAGAGGCAAGGGAGAGTTAAGCTCAAATAAGATATGTTTGGATACTGATGATTATTACTCATGTTTAACTTTTAGTCTAGACATTGAATTTTACATTATCTCCCTGTATCTTTTTATTTTCTCAATTATAAATGCAGCATTTCTTTTGGCTTGATTTTAGTAACATTACACCATAGGAAAGAATAGTTTTAAAATAACAATAGCTTGATTGGTTTTGGATGCTTTTCTTAATAGGAGAGTCATATGCTTAAACTGTCATGGAAGCAATTTTGTTTAGGTATCTGTATTTGTCTATATGTTCTTTATGGTTAACTGCTTACTATACTTTAAACATTACCACATTTAATAATCTATTATATAGCTACCATATTTGAATTTAACTATAACCTCCTTAAACCTTTTGATATTTGCTTCCTCACAGCATTTTTGTTTAAGTTCATACTTTTACTTTATTACCAATGGATATTCTTCTGGGATTCCTTTTATATAATTCATTTAGACTAGGGTATTTCTCATACCTGAGCAGGGATAGAAGTGAACAGGGTATTGAGGCAAAGACTGCAGTTTGCTAGTGATAAGCGGGAATATCATTAAGATCTCAAATGGCAATAGCAATAGCTGCTTGAAGCACTGTAAGTTTAGCTTGTCAAGCAAATTATCTTGTACCCTGCGTGTTGAGGACTGCTGCTTCTTGTTCTAACCAGCAATGAAGCTAGTTATTAGTGAAGAAAGCTAGGTATACATAAAAGAAACACATTAAATCATTATTTTTTCCTCCAAGATTTAGGATGATTCAGAGTGAGAAAGTAAAAATTAGCTCAGACTAAGACTATAAATATCTGCCTGGCCATGAATTGGGCTGGTAGAACAAAAAGATAAAACCATCTGCAAATACAACAGGAAATAATATTTCTTCTAAGGATATACTGAAGCTGTAAAGTATAATAACAACCCCCTTCTTTGAATGTTTACTTTCTAATTCATTGGAAAACTCTGATTCTAAAATCACATATTATAAAGAAACTTGCTACTTAAAATTTTATCGGTAAGAATGAAATAATACCCCACTCTCGCTTGGAGGATCTAAGTCACTTTGATACAGAGAAGCAGCCTCAATTTCCAATGTAGGTGTAAAGGCTTCATTTAAGGGCCTCCTGAATGCAACATTCCACATCTATAGTAACTTTGTAGTTTCCAAGAAATAGGATCCTGAGACTATTCTACAGTCCATATCTGATGCTGACCTCTTTACACATAGTCCTGCTTTGAGTCTATCAAAATACTGCTTCCTTTAAATTTCACTTAACCCCATCCTTGCCTAAAATTCTGTAAATTTGTCTTTTTCTTTGTTTCCTGAGACATTCCATGGTTCCTTTGCTGTTCAGTTTTTCTCAATGGAATGAGTCAAATAAATCTGACTTTGTCAGATTATAGTTCGACAGGTTTTCCCTGGTGGTGTTGAGCTGATTGGATTAGGACAAGGGGTCATCAAAACCTAGTAAAGGCTCATTCTAATGGAGTATAGGTCTCTGGGACAATAAAATGTGTAAGAAAAGTAGGATTCAGTAGCATGATGTTATGTGAACCAGAAATACCACAATGATGGCCCAGCAGTAATTTACCCACTACCCTAATCTGTGTGTGTGTGAGTACATGCATGTGTGTAATACTGTTCATCACCAAAAAGAACCATGGTTCCTTAAAATGTAGTTGATTCTACCACCTCGGACAGCAAAAAAAATCCAGATTGGCCTCGAACCTCTTGTTGTCAGGAAAAAAAAGTTTCAAAAACCTGATGCAGACTTTAAAATGGGGGCAGGCTTACAAGGACCATATTGGGACAATTTGAGTATCAAAAGGAGAATAATTAGAGAAGTAAGTTTAGAATATAATGATAGTTCAAAACGGAAAGAGGTAGTAAATAAATCATACAAAGTGGTAGCTGTAAAGCAAAAGAAGGAATATATGATAGAATATTTGTTAATTTTTAAAATTAATTTTCAATACATATATGAGCTTTCTGTGTACATACACAGCAGGGAACTGAATAACTTCCACAGGTGGAAACCACAAATTACAGGAAGAGGTGATTAGTCCAATGATCATATTTACAACCAGGTATAGGGAAGGTCCAGCACTGTTCCAAAATGAAATTAATCAACTGTCTTACTCTATAAAGTCATCTCTAGTCTCCTGGGAGCCCCTCCTAATATTAATATGATGCTAATAAGGCATGCAGAATTTTCCGGTGATGTTAGTAGATCAGATTTCTCTGATAATGACATGACAATGATATATAGCATTCAGCATTCAACCCTCTAAAAAAGACAATTTTGGGGAAATAGCATGCTACAGAAAGTATAGGCTGCTGGGCATCTCAAAATCTTGCATCCCCGTTTCTGTAAGGGCTGAAATATCTTCATAGTATTTTTAACCAATCCACATATCTTGAACATCGCTCATTTTGCCAATGAGCCATATTATTTCTAATATCGCTTGTGCTAATATCCCCTAGTGAAAGAGATTTAAGTACTCTAGTAGTGGTTAAAGTGCCTGTTGATATATCTAATAGTTTTGAGGCCCTTTTGTTGTCCGAAGATAATGCAGTTATAATGTCTGGCCAACTAAATATAATCAGTAACGATGCTGACGATATGGACACAGGCACAAGACTTCTTAACAATATGTAACAAATTACACTAATCTTAAACACATGGTAACAATGGAAGGTAACGAGCTAGGTGGAAGTTATAAAAGTTGCCGAAGTAGATTCTGTTACTTTACGAGTTCCATGAGCCTCTCCAACAGCGTCGACAGGAATAAATCCCTAAATCTAACCCCAAATCCTTATCAGCCGCCTGGTCATCTTTGTGCGGACTACAATTCCCAGAAGGCAACGCGCGGCACCCTGTCCCCGCTTCCTCGCCCAGCTGAAGTTGCAGTTTACACAACAGCTTCTTCGACCGACTGTCTGACCCTTGTCACCAAGGACTCGGATGTACAGGCCACCCCGCCCTGCATCCGGGTTCTTCCAACTCTGGGGCGTGGCCCGGATTCCTGAACCTAATTTTAGAGCTCGGCTAGGCTGGCAGCCAGTGGGCGGGCGGCGGGCGTGGCGCTCTAGGCCGAGCGGCTTCGTCTCTATGACCACTGGCGGTCCAGGGAGTCTTGCGGCCGGCGGGGGCGCGCGTCAGTTCCGCGCGGGGCTGGCGGGGAACCATGGCTGCCCCGAGAGGTGAGGCCGGGGTACCCGGGGGTGGGGAGTGCGCGGGGGGGCGGCGGCGCAGCCTCGGCGCCTGCGGGGCTCCGGGCCCAGGCTGAGGCGACGGGCTTCAGGAGTTGGTGTGGAGCCGCTCTCCGGCTGCGGGGCAGCCGGCCTCCCACTGCGGCTGCCTTCCCGCGGAGGACTGTGCGCAGGGCAGGTCGGCGGTCACTTGCCTCCACTAGCTGGTAGCGGGTGGGAACCCGCCTCTGCCGGGCTCGGGCTGCGTTGGACCCGGAGAGGGGCCTGGACACAGGTCCTGGGCTGGACCCGCATAACCCAGCGGGAGGCTGGACAGTTCTCCGTGCTTGGGCCACAGCGGCTTCGGTCTCATCTCTGCGTCCTGCCCTGCAGATGCTCAGAGACTGACAGGCATGCTCTAGGGGCAGAGCCCAGGCGGCGGCTGGTCCATACAATCGCCACTACCAACATCACTGGGGCACTATAACAGCACTGTAATCTAAAGAGAGAAAGCAGGCGTTAACAGAGTTCCTCCCGAGGAAAATGCTGTATGTGGTTAGAAAGGACACATTGATAATTGGGGTGGAAGGTGAGATCCACAACCCCCCTCCCGGGAATGGCACATTTGGGTAATAATATTTGGTGACTAATTGCCATTTAAAGAGGGTGAGTCTAATTAACTTCGCAGCATCACTTTTGTTTTGCCAAGCGGTGCACATAAGTTGGGACCAGAGATGAATGCTTGGACTGTAGAGCAGTAGCTAGGTGAGGTTGGGTGACACCCGGATTCTTTCTCCGCCCTTCCGCAATAGAGCACTTAGCTTCACCTTTAGATAAATGCTGAACAAATATTTAAGGAATATCTTTTTGCATGAATGCCAGATCATTTTCCTCGTTGAGGAGCCAACATTTATGATCAGGCCTTGCCCAAAGGCATTGTCTGTAGTTGCATATGCCACTCCTTATGTATTCTCCCATTTCAGCAAGTCCAACTTTAAGACTTTTTGTAACAACACAGGACATAAAGGAAAAAAGAATTGTTTTGATAACTAACATAGAATGGAGATAGCAAAATTACAGAAGTCAAACCATTACCTGAAATAGCTGAAATTTACAGGTTTAGGCTTATTGCTAGGACATATTTGTTGTGCCTTGGTTGTGTCACAAGTCTTATATGACCAATAGAAATGTATAATCCTAACAAAATTGCAGCTTTCATAGCTCACTGATATTCACAAAGAATTTATCTGGGACTTCACGAATTTCCAAGTTTTCAGGTATTACAAATAATGTCCCCCATAAAATATAGTAAAATATAACTTCAAACTGTAAGTTTCTTTTGGGGGACATTTTCCAGACAGAAACAAATACGTGGGAGCGAATGGGAATTTTATAAGAAGCAGAGAAAAATGCAGGTTTAAGATGTGACTGCCAGTTGAGTTGTGGGCTAGGTTTATAGTTGGACCATGAGTAACTTTGGGCATGAGTTGAATTCTTGGCAAAATTGAAAGCAGTTACATATTGTGGACTTTTGATATTGCCCTGAAAAAATTGAATTTTTTTTTTTCTTTTGAGACAGTCTCACTCTCTTGCCTGGGCTAGAGTGCCATGGCATCAGCCTAGCTCACAGCAACCTCAAATTCCTGGGCTCAAGCAATCCTCCTGCCTCAGCCTCCTGGGTAGCTGGGACTACAAGCACATGCCACCATGCCTGGCTAACTTTTTCTATTTTTAGTTTGGCTAGTTTCTTTCTATTTTTAGTAGAGATGGAGTCTCATTCTTGCTCAGGCTGGTCTCGAACTCCTGAGCTCAAGCAATCCTCCTGCCTTGGCCTTCCAGAGTGCTAGGCTTATAGGCATGAGCCATTGAGCCCGGCCTAATAACTGAAATTTTATACTGGAAAATTTGTGGAGTGAAGAAGAAATAAATATTTTGATCTAATATTAAACTAAAATGTCAGAGAAAATCAAGGTTAAAAACATTCAGTATGTTTTCAAATTTGAAATGTGTTTTAAAAATGATATTCTGTATAAAAGTCTAATATGTTTTGCAAATATCTAAACTTATTTCATTATTCTTACACTTAGATCAGTAGTTATTTTCAAGCATATAAGTTCCCATGTAATCACTATGCAAATAGGTATTTTTTTCAAGTTGCTGACAAAATAATATTATAGGTTAGAGTATGTTTGTAGACCATAAATATTTGGCTTAGTGTTTAAATATTCATTTTGTTGTTTTTGGAATCAGGAACCTATAAAATAGCTAAAAACAAGGTAGGTTTTAGGTTGGTAGTCCTAACCTCTTATTTATGAAGATGTTAGTAATTTAGGACATGGATTGGCAAACTTTTTCTGTAAAGCGCTGGATGGTCTTTTGTCATAACTGCTCAACTCTGCTGTTGTAGGGGAAAAAGTAGCCCAATTTGGAAACCAATTATCATGGCTATGTTCTCATAAAACTTTATTCATGGACACTAAAATTTGAATTTCTTACAATTTTCATATCACAAAATGTTATTTAAAACTTTTTTCCAGCTATTTAAAAGTGTAAAACCATTCTGAACTCATAAAATCGAGGGACGAGTGTCCCTTATAAAAAGGAGGGACAAGTGTAGCTTGCTGACCCCTGATCGAGAAAATGGGAAGTGCTTTCTCCTGTACTGACTAATTAAAAGGTTATTGCTGGCTATTTTTTTTTTTAGACAGAGTCTCGTTCTGCTCTGTCACCCTGGGTAGAGTACAGTGGTGTCATTGTAGCTGACTGTAACCTCAAACTTCTGGGCTCAAGCACTCATCTTGCCTCAGCTTCCCCAGTAGCTGGAACTACAGGCTCGAACCACGACACCTGGCTAATTTTTCTCTTTTTTTCAGAGACGAGAGTCTCACTCGTGCTCAGGCTGGTCTCCAACTCCTGAGCTCAAACAATCCGCCAGCCTCGGTCTCCCAGAGTGCTAGGCTTACAGGTGTGAGCCACTGCACCCAGCGTGTTTTTTTTTGTTTGTTTGTTTTTTGAGACAGGGTCTCACTCTGTCACCATGGCTAGAGTGCGGACTAAAGTGCAGTGGTGTCATCATAGCTTGCTGCAACCTCCAACTCTTGGGCCCAAGTGATCCTCCTGTAACTGCCTAAACTTTCTTTCCAAAAGCTCTGAGGAGCCAAAAAGCAATGTTTATGTAAGAGGAAGTGAAAGAGATCACTACAATACTTCCTTTGCTCTAAGACTGTCCTACACAAGGAAAAATGTATGACTCCAAAAATAAATAGCAGCCAGGTGTGGTGGAATTCACTCAGCCACATTTGTATATTTCCTATATTTTAAATTTTATAGAGCTGTGTTGTTAATATTCTTTTTTGTGTAAGGAACTGTTTTTCTATAATGCAATGAAATGAGAGGCCAGGTGTAATTTGTTTTCTATTATGGTAAAGTTCTATGTTAAGTCCCATTTTTATTACTCAATTATTTCTTTTGTTTTCTTTCTGCTGTCTTTAAATTAGAATATACATTGCAGCAATTGCTTTCATTCTGCTTTCCTGCTTTGCATTTACAAGTTGGTAATCATAAAGATATTTAAAATATGCAATTTATAACATACTAGATTCAGTATGCCACATAGTTTTGCAATTGGGGCACTCCTCAGGAACAAAATCTATGCCTAACTCGTTGATATTTAAAGTCAGATGTGGTTTTGGGATAGGTGTGTTTGTGTTCATGTGATTGGAAAGTATTGTTTTGAAACAAATTTTTAAATGTCATGGGTTTTAAAACATTCTGTGCTTGAAATTGGAAAGTATTTTTGGGCTGTAACTAGTTGATTAACTTTTATCTGCATAATATTGTCTACTAAATAACATCTTTGTTGCACATATTTTCCAGAAAGTGTCAGTTTATTATTCAAGTTATACTGCTTGGCAGTGATGACCCTGATGGCCGCAGCTTATACCATAGCTTTAAGATACACAAGAACATCAGACAAAGAACTCTACTTTTCAACCACAGCCGTGTGTATCACAGAAGTTATAAAGTTATTGCTAAGTGTGGGAATTTTAGCTAAGTGAGTATAAATACTTTTAGTGTGTTAAATTATTGTTTTTCTACTCAGTTAAGGTGTTTTCTTTATTAGAAAACTCAGGCTATGTCTTTATATGTGTTTAATTGCTCTAGAGCAGTATTTCTCAACAAGGAGTGATTCTGTCCCCCAGGAGATTTTTTGGTTGTTACAACCTGGGGGGTGCTACTAGCATCTAGTGGATAGAGGCCAAGGATGCTGCTAAACATCCTACAAAGCACAGGATAGGCCCCACAACAAAGAATTATCTAGCCCCAAATGTCAGTAATGCTGAGGCTGAAGAACCCTGCTCTAGAGCGGCGCTTGGCAAACTATGTCCTATGGGCCAAATCCAGCTTGCTGTCTGGTTTTGTTGCAACAGAGATTGAATGGTTCACAGACCCTAAAATATTTAATCCTTACAGAAAAAAAATTGCTCACCTCTGTTTTAGAGGAATATAATAACAAACATTTCTTTAGTGTTTCCTGTGCTAAGTGCTAGGTATTGTGCTAAGTGCTTTTAATGAATTTTCTCATTTAGTCCGTATGCATTTTTGAGGTAAGTATTATAATTACCCAATTTTATCACTATAGCATCTGAGGTTCCTCACTGTTAATATGTGGCAGCACAGGGCTTTGAATCAGGAATATCATATAAGAATTGTTTTACCTAAGGATGCAATATAAGAGAGGGTTAAGAATAGGGGCTTTGTAGTGAGACAGACATCATTTTTAATCCTACACTGGGATAATGGCTTTATACATGTTTCTTAACCTGTCTAAGCTTTAGTTTCTAAATTTTTTTAATTGGAGAAAATATTACGGGGTGGCAAAAATTAAATACAATCCTGTAAGTAAATTACTTGGAGAAAGATTTATGAGATGGGGACCCATTTGAGTCATTGGGGCAGGTAAGAATTCATACAGGTTTCAAGATGTGTGTTGGAGAGAGGGGAAGCAGAGA